GCGCTCTCGGACTCTGACGGTTGAAGTGGTCGACGGGGGTTACCAACGGCGACGGAGGGGAACCGAGAAGCGCGGGAGGGCCGTCCGCGGCGGCCGCTGCTCACCGAGACTCGGACCAGCTTCAGAGGCCCGTGTTTGACCCGAAATCTTTCTCCTCGGTTTAGTTGCCGCGACCCGGTGCCGCCGAGCGGTGGGGGGGAGGGACGGGGGTGGGGGGGAGGGGACGGGGGTGTGGGGGGAGGGGGCGGAGGGTGGGGGGAGGGGACGGGGGGGGGGAGGGGGTGGGGGGAGGGGACGGGGGTGTGGGGGGGAGGGGACGGGGGCGGAGGGTGGGGGGAGGGATGGGGTGGGGGGGAGGGGACGGGGGTGTGGGGGGGAGGGGCGGAGGGTGGGGGGGAGGGACGGGGGTGGGGGGAGGGGGGGAGGGACGGGGGGTGTGGGGGGAGGGGACGGGGGCGGAGGGTGGGGGGAGGGGATGGGGGTGGGGGGAGGGGGGGGGGAGGGGACGGGGTGGGGGGACGGGGTGGGGGGGACGGGGGTGGGGGGAGGGGGTGGGGGGACGGGGGGGGGGGGGGGGAGGGGACGGGGGGTGTGGGGGGGAGGGGACGGGGGCGGAGGTGGGGGGAGGGGATGGGGGTGGGGGGAGGGACGGGGGTGGGGGGGAGGGGACGGAGGGTGGGGGGGGGCGACGGGGTGGGGGGAGGGGTGTGGGGGGAGGGACGGGGGTGTGGGGGGGAGGGGACGGGGGCGGAGGGTGGGGGGAGGGGAGGGGGTGTGGGGAGGAGGGGACGAGCCGCGGTTGCGGTTTTTCTCCTCCCTCGCCTCAGCCGGAGAAGCCGCGCACGTCCGGCTCCCGAAGCCCGGAATACCATCCCGTGCAAAAAGTGAACTCCAAATTAAGAGTTCTGTAGCGTAGTGGTTACCGCCCTCGCCCGCGAGAGGACACGGGTTTAATTCCCAGACCGGGTGAAACCCGAGGCAAGTTTCCTTACTGCACACCTGCATTTACGGAGCAGTAAACAGGAACCTGGTTGTTAGTCAATTGGCAGTTCGCTCGAAGTAACAATCCCCCCCAAAAAAGTTACTCAATCCACGGCTGTGCTCAATTGGCTGCCCACAAAATAATAATAATAATAATCCCTCCAAAAAACAAAATCAAGAATAAATCGGTCACTTCAATCCATGACTGTGTGGGACATTGCTGCGCGCAATTGGCTGCCGCGTTTCGCCCACAAATATACAGTCAATTCACTTTGCAGTCTATTCTGTGAAGCGCTTTGAGACGTCGAGAAGACGTGAAAAGCGCTATATCAAATGCAAGGATTATTATTAACATATACTGTCAATCCACTTTACAATATATTCTGTGAAGCGCTTTCAGATGTCTCAGCAATGTGATAAAGCGCTGTATCAAATGCAAAGATTATTATTAAAATACAATATAGATAAATATAGCGCTATACAATATAGCGTGGAGTCCTGTGGCTCAGTGGTTAGAGCACTCGCTTTGCAAGCGAGAGACCTGAGTTCAATTCCAGGCAGGTCAGGGCGACACCTTGGGCAAGTTTCCTTACAACAACAACAAGATTCCATTTATTGAGCACCTTTCACGTCGGGAGGACATCCCAAGGCGACGGAGGGGAACCGAGAAGCGCGGGAGGGCCGTCCGCACAGAGCCACACAGAGCCTAATAATAATCCCTCCAAAACAAAACAATAATAAATTGGTCATTTTCAATCTACGACTGTTTGTGGGACATTGCTGTGCGCAATTGGCTGCCGCGTTCTCCCACAAATATACAGTCAATTCACTTTACAGTGTGTTCTGTGAAGCACTTCGGGACGTCCTCCCGACGTGAAAAGCGCTATATCAAATGCAAGGATTATTATTATTATTATCAGTAATTCCCATTATTTCCCTTATTATAACGAAGATTATTGAGTTTTGAATATAAACTAACTGCAAACTGCAATGCAAGGATTATTATTGTTAAAACTGGTTATAAAAAAAACTTTGTAATATTTGTATTACAGTTCCAAGATATAAATATCCCTATTTATTTGCATAGAAAATTAACATTTAAAACCAGACATTTAAAGACAGGGCGACTTGGAGGGTAGAAGGGAGTTTGGGGTCTACCTTCTGAAGGATCGGTCATTGGAGTGGGGAGGAACGCACAGCAGAACCAAGTTTAAGTCTCATACGTATGCTTTCTGTGTGTCTGGTACGAAACAAGCACTCTCCCCAATCACATCTGCTTAACTAATTCCAGAGGTTAGGCGCAAGTTGGCAAAAGCCAAGGTTTAGGAATTGCTGGAGTTTAACTAGCTTAACCTGTATAATTTCCCATTACAAAGACAGGCAAGCTTCCCATTGCTTGTTCAGCTAAATCCAATCTGATAAGTCTTGCAGGGTTAACATGAGTTGAGTGGGGGGAATCCACGTCGCCAGTGACTGGTCTGCCATGCTTTGGAGTACTGCGGATAGGCCTGGTTCAAGTACTGGACTATTGAAACCAATACAGAGGATATGCCCGTTAAAGAAATAAAACATGAAAATAGAAGCGTCAGAGAACAAGTTTGATAAAAACTTAGTGTTCTAAAGGTATTGAGGTGATCAAAATTGTTTTAGGAGAATTTACATTCAAATTGATCCCAGCAACTGTAATTCTGTAAAAAAAATCACAATCTTATCTGATTCAACTTTTCCAATCTATCACACAAATAAATGTTTGTATAAGCTAGTTTGTGGTCACAGGACTTTGACTCAGGCACATTTCCAGCCAGGCCAAAGTTCAAAATTATTTCAGAAAAGCATGCATCAAATGTAAAAATACAATGCAGTGTTAACTAATAAGTTAATAACAGTCACAGACAGATACTACTTATTTTCCATATCCATATAACACAGAATAGACAACAATAATGTTCAAATGATACAACGCTAATCGAAAAGAAAATAATCTTTCAGAACAAGTTTACAAAATTTGCCATACTCTTTGTGCAGTTTTTGTAAGGTCAATTTGTAAGTTAAATTTATCAGCTTAAATTATATGCAAATTAATTGTTTTAAAAAGTGTTTTTTTTCTGGTATCAAAAGAATTGCCTGCAGCATTCAAGGCGATTCATTCAAATCTCCACTCTTGTCAAACTACTCCCTCTGGAGGCTGTCTGTGTGAAGATCAAACCCTTTCAACTTCCCATCGCTCATTTGATTAAATTGTTACTAGATTTTGCACTATTCATACTGTAACAATAACACCCACATTAATATTTTCCAGGTAGTTTGTAGACCAACACTGAAGTGTGCTGAACTACCTCCGTGAGTACACTTTTGATGTAAAAAAAGAGTACTAAAGACTCTAAAACTACTCTGGGATCTACCTCAGGTTAAACTCAACCTCGAGCTAAACTCCTAACAAGTCTAAATTGGATTAGTGATTCTATGTCAAAAATCTTATTTTACAATCAAGTAAATATTTTGAAGTTTTGCATATTACACAAGAGATAATGATTTACACACAAGCAACCTCACATATTTGCACCTTTCAGGAAGGATAACATCTCAAACCATCTTAGAATCAGAGTAGAAAGCCAACCAACAGCAAATTACACTTGTATAACACCCTTCACGTCGGAAAGATGTCCCAGGGCGCTGGACAATCAGTTTTGGACCCGAGCTGGCAGTTGGGGGCAGGAGGGGTGGAAGGTGGCCGGGGGAGGGAGGGTGACTAAAGGCGCGGTCAAAGGTCTTTAGAGCAGACGATAGGGACTGAAGTGGAGGGATTGCGGGATGGTTCCAGAGCATGGGGACAGATATGCTGAATGCCCACCCACCTGCCAATGGTGGGATGGGAAGTGCAGGGGACCTGAAGCAGGCCAGTGTCTGCCGAACAGTGGAAACGAACAGGCTGGTATGGGATTAGGAGGTCAGAGGTAGTAGGGAGCAAGACCATGGAGGGATTTGAAGGTGAGCATGAGGGTTTTGAACTCAATTCTCTAGGATGGGGAGCCAGTGAAGTCGGGCAAGGATGGGGTGATCAGTTCAGAGCCTGGTGCGGAAGAGGACTCAAGCTGCAGAGTTCTGAGTAGGAAATGGAGAGGCGTGGAGGTAGAGGGAACTCAATGAACGTGTGATTGAAGAAGAGGTTTTGAAAGCTCATAATGAAGGGTTTGGGAGAGAATTCCAGAGAGAAGGGTTTTAGTGGCCGAAGGTGCAGGAATGTGTAGCAGATCAGGAGGGGAGCTGGACTGCAAAAGTAGGGATGAGGCAAAAACATGAAGTTTAGAACAAAGATCTTGCTGCATATCTGCTGAGGGACACAGAGCTAGTGATGCCTGGGAATGATGGGCATTTTGCAGTTCTATTATTATTATTATTTTGCAGTTCAACTACTAACAAAATTTGATTTGCAGTGAACTAAGCAATTGAATTAATACATGATTGAACATGGAAGTTTCCTGATTGACTGTTACCTGGAAGAGGCATAGAACCATAAGAATTCACAGCACAGAAGGCCAATTGGTTTATTGTGTCTGTGCTGGCTCTTTTAAAGAGCAATTCTTTCAGTCCCATTTACCTGTCCTTTCCCCATACACCTATAATTTAGACCTTTTTAGGTATTTATCTTGTTCCCTTTTGAAAGGAAATATAGATTCTACCTCAATCACTGCTCCAGACAGAGCATTCTTTATTCCAACAATTTAGTGAGAAAACAAATTCCCCTAATCTCTTTGCTATCTTAAATTGATGCCTTCTCATCACTGGTTCACAAGTATGTTTCATTTCTCAAATCAAACATGAGAGCTGTGTGTGTGTGCGAAGGGATAAAACCACATTAAACAGTATTTTTTATCGTGAAAATTGCTTTTTTACAGTTTACATTTTCAAAGTATAGGAGCGTGTAGGATTGATTCATAGGATTGATTCATTCTGTGTCAGTGCACTCTGCTTTTAAATACGTAGACGTGCTACATAGTAAATATACAATTGCCACTGCATTTTGGACCATGCCCGTGTTGGACATTATACTGTATTTTCAAAGAACCATCGCTAATTATTCTGTCAAAACTGCTTATATAACATGTACACTTTTTTGTTTGGACAAAATAAAATGACATTACATAGTGTCCAGACAGCAATCTACAGTGTCAATCATAAAACAATGCTGAAGCCCGTTACAAACTAGGATTTACACAATATCCACTCATTTAGAGCACTGCTATAAAGCTACTGGTGCTTGACTTTTAATGTGTCACACTTCACTGTAGCATCAAGATAACAAGTATCTTCCCCTGTAATTCATAATGCAATATGGTATTATGCAGGATTTTTCTGAACCTCAAGATCAGATTCAGTGGTTCTGTGTCAGTTCTGCCCACAGAATCTAGTGCTTCCAGGTAAAATATAAATTCCTGCTTCAGTTCTTGAACAAACAGTATGGCTAATATTAGGTATTGAACTAAATTCTGCACAATGGAAGTACAGACTGATCAGGTTGTAGTAGGTATTCTTATTGACTATCTCGCACCGATCCGTTCCTTTTTTTCCTCTGGAGGTAGAATCTTTATTTCAAAAACTTTGAAGAATTCCAATAGTCCTTCGACATCTTTAGGCTCTAAACTGTACTCTTCAGCTATTTTATCAGATGTCCACGTTTTAGGATCAAGTTTGTGGTTGTTGAGGATGGTAAGAACCTCTACTATGGATAGTTTGCCTTTGGGAATATTAGTAACTGCAAATGGGTCCCGTTTCAAAGTAACCTTCGAATGTCTCATCTCCTGCTGCGGCTTGGTCCTTTTAGCAATTGGATGTTTCTGGAAAAAGGAAAGCAAAACAGTGAAATTTCTCAAGTGCCAAAAGATAAAAGTCAGCTATTGGAGGCTTATATGCTATTCATGCTTACTGCATCTAACATGCCCTGAAAGCTTGGATGATTTTATTGTCAGATTGACAGTTTAGCAGATTCTACTAACCAGGGTTAGTTTTTATTGTTGAAGAGCTGGTCTCGCAAGAACTATTAATGATCCATTTGCAATGATATTTACGCTCCAGTCGTGTGGAACTGCTGTATTGAAAGTATCTCAAGTATGATTTAGACTATTTGTTCACAGCAAATTGCAACAAAGGTAATCTAAACTAACCATATGTAAAACACACCAAAGGGAGGAGCATCCTTTCTATCTATAGAACCCAGCGACAATATCAAACAATCCACACTTATCAAATTAGTGCTATAATCCACCAGCCTGCCCTTCAGACAGATGTCAGTAGTTAAAACAACAACAAATTAATTGCATCCCAGGGCACTGCTAGGGTTTGTAATTGTTTTGTTCTTCAACATGGCACCTAGGTTTGGTCACTTCCAACCATACATAATTTCACCACTTAGTTATTCATCCAAACTGATAACCATTTTCAATATATATGCATTGTTCAAACAAACACACAGTGGTACAATGTTACAACCATTCAACCATTCAAATTTCCCCTAAACATCTCCTTCTGCCCTTTGGGGTAGAGACCATTTTGCCCATAGCATCTGTTTACTCTCTGCCTCAATCCCTGTCTGTCTTCAGATGACACCTAAAGACCTTCCTCTTCGACGATGCCTATGGTCACCTCCCCTCAGTGCTGGCTCAGCATCAAGCTCCACCACTGTTAAGCACTCTAAGTCGCTACCCCTTGTGAAGGGCACTATATTGTTGTTTATTTTTAATACTATGTATGTATTTCAGTACAAACCTCTACAGGAGTATCCTTTGAGTCTACATAAACATTTTTGAGTAAAGACACAAGATTTTCATTCTTTCTGGTTAGTTCATCTATTTCGACTTGACCTATAAAAGAAAAAAATACATTAGTATTATGAACTTACACATAAGACTATGCCATAAGATAGGTAATACTGACTTGAAATTAATCAATGTACCCAATTGATCTACTTGGCACTTAATTTTTGAATATGATTGTGGTTTGGAATCCTATAGAGGCCTAACTTGGTCAGCCTTAACCCAGTTCCTAGTATTTTAGTGAAGAGTCTGGTAAGGAAGGGTATGAAATGTTTGCCAGCGGCACTCAAGATTTTTTCTTCGTCAGGATTTCAGCGAAGGATAATTTTCAATATATATGCATTGTTCAAACAAACACCCAGTGGTACAATGTTACATTTGTATTTCCAAATGTGTGTTTGAAAATTGTATATTTCAGCTGCACCATCAGTAATAGTGATTATAGATCATTGCTATTGAAAACAAGGAGAGGTGAATTATTAAATAAATCACACAAGGATATTGACTTATGTGGGCCCGTCATGGGCATTGGAACTAAAATGTCATATATATTTGTGATTTCATTTCTGACTATGAAAATCTATTAGGAAGTAATGTTCTTTTGAGATCTTGACACAACTTTGTCACATAATTGATCAGTGATGCCTTTAAAATATGCAGTTCCCACTTATACAGAACTAAATACCAGGGAAAAAATGCAGATGTCAGCAGTACAAATATCCAAAATGCAGATTACTGCATTGCTTCTCTTCTGTGAACAACGGAATTCTAAGTCAAACAGCTGAGGCCATCAGTATGAGAATGCAAACAACAACTTGCACTTATATCGCGCCCTCCACGCAGGGTAGCATCACACCACTGAGATTCATTCATTTACACTCAACACATACAAGTGGTGTGAAGAACAAGTAGCTATCTCCAACGTGCTTCTCAACCTACAGATGGACCTGGGATCTTACAGCATTTCAACATAAAAATAATCAACGAGTGCACTACTTAGGTCACCTCCTCATGTCATTCTATGGTCTAAAAAGAGCAACAGATTTAAGATCCAAGGCTCTGCCAGTGTGTAAAATAGTAGTCTGAATTGAATCCACATACATCTGCAGTTAGCTGAGATCAAGCACTCACAGTGTCACTGAGAATTTCCACAATCAACTGGCAGTGTTTGAATAACTGTTAAAAGCAAGTCTCATTTTTTCAGCTAGAATCCCTTGCGGAAAAGATTACGACTTTCCATAATTGCACAAGATTTGCTATAAAGAAATCTGACTGATACAACATTACAATCATTTCTAGCAGGTAAGTACTGTACTTGGAAGAGTTTGTAGAATAATGAAATATTGTTTGCATGCTGAAGATTAATCCTTTTCCTACCAAATATAAATTATTAGAAATCAATACCTAATGTTTGTATATTCCTTTTCAGTTGGCCTCATAAATTAATAATAATAATAATTGCATTTGATATAGCGCTTTTCACGTCGGGAGGACGTCCCAAAGCGCTTCACAGAACACACTGTAAAGTGAATTGACTGTATATTTGTGGGCGAACGCGGCAGCCAATTGCGCACAGCAATGTCCCACAAAGTCGTAGATTGAAAATGCCCAATTTATTATTGTTTTTGGTTTTGGAGGGATTATTATTAGGCTCTGTGTGGAGTAAGGAAACTTGCCCAAGGTTTCACCCTCTGCCTGGAATTGAACTCAGGTCTCTCACTTGCAAAGCGAGTGCTCTAACCACTGAGCTACAGGACTCACAAAGAAGGGTGGGGGAAGAGGCGGACGCCTAACTATCATTGGTAGGGCAGGCTGGACGGGCGACATGGAGCAGGCCGCAGGCTGCTGAGCAGAGGGAATGGACAGGTGATATGGGGTTAGCAGGTCACATAGATAGGAAGGGGCAAAGCCATGGAGGGCTTTGAAGGCGAGGACAAAGATTTTGAGCGTTATCCTCTGGAGGATGGGGAACTAGTGGAGCCGGGCGACGGTGGGGGTGATAGGGGTCACGGTGCAAGAGAGGACACGAACTGCAGAGTTCTGGGTGATCCTCAGCTTGCGGAGGGAAGAGGTGAGAAGGCCAACAAGCTGGCGTTGTCGAGCCTAGATGTGATGAACACGTGGATGAGGGTTTCGGCGGCCTGAGAGCTGAGGCAGTGGCAGAGCCGGGTGATGTTGTAGAGATGGGGAAAGGCAGAACGGGTCATGGCACGGATGTGTCATGTATTTTTAATGATCAACTATCACAGTATTAAGAAACTAAAGACCTTTTATTATGAAAGCTCAAATATCCACAAATTTTGCAAATGCAAAAAAATTTATTAAACTATATCTGTGAATCACACAACTGCAATCTTGTACAAAAGTTCAATATAGTTTTTTTTAAGAAGTTACAAAATTCTTCTAACTTTTCTCAGGCTTTTGACAGGGCAGGGCAAATACTCTAGACACTACCCATGCTACACTGAAGTCAGAGACAGCTCTGAATCTGCTCCCAAGCCAGTCTTAAAAATAAATAAAATGGAAATATTTAGGGATTTATGAGGGTTTTATACATATGTAATTTTCTAATACCCTTGTTAGAACAAACCCTAGCTGAGCAAGGATCTACTATTGTGGATCTACGCTGTACCTAAAGCACAGTACACCCAGATTCTGGTACTAGACCCAGTTAATAATACTTGCATTTGCTATAGCATGTCTTCAAGGCATCTCAAAGTGCTTCACAGAACATACTGTAAAGTGAATTGACTGTATATTTTATGGGCAAAACGTGGCAGCCAATTGCGCACAGCAGTGTCCCACAAACAGTTGTGGATTAAGTGACCAGTTAAGTCCTGCCATGAACACTGTGTGCATAATGCGCTACTGAGGTCACTTTGCAAAGGAAGCAATGTTAGCAGTGTTTGTTTTCCATATTGAAGGTATATGCGTAGGAAGTGATACGATATCAGGACCCGCCCATCCAGAAGTTGGCCATTTCCTCGCACTTCATGTTTACATCATCAGACCACTGCAGTAAAACAGGGTCGCCCTTCATTTCGAAGTCAAGTACTTTGAACAGAAGTACCAGCCTGTTACTTTTGTTTCCCTTTAATCACTGCAGGATCTAAGCAATCCTAGTAATGAACAGGAGGTTCCCATGTTCAAACCTCATAGAATCATACAGCACAGACAGAAGGAGGCCATTTGGCCCATCGTGTCTATGTCGGCTCTTTTTAGAAGGATTGAAAGATTGTGGCCAGAGAGTCTGCTATTTCCATCCTTACTTCCCTCAGTAGCCAGGATGCATCCCATCCGGACCGGGTGACTTATCTACCTTGAGCACCGTCAACCTTTTTAGTACCTCCTCTCTGTTTATTCTTATCTTATTCAATGTCTTTACCCTCTCCTCCGATACTGTGGCATTGGCTGTATCCTCTTCTATTGTGAAGACAGATGCAAAGTACTCGTTCAGTCCATGATCTGATTTGGATAGAATTTGAATCTTTTAGACATCCCCACCAGCATCCTGTTCACACCGAACACCAATATCTCCAGCAGAGGTCACTTCAGCAGTAATGAAAACTCTTAATGCTTAACCTCTCTTAAACCACCACATTAATTCCCTTAGTACAATCTTAAGATAACTCAGTCACAAATTTGGAGGTCAAAGCTTTGACCTTCCAACCTGTATGTCTGGGTTACTCACAGAATAAACTCGCTCATCCTTACAGTGCGCCAAAGTTCCAGCTTTATATTTGGGAACAGCATCCACTGCATTTTGGAATGGAACGTGTTTCAATCTCTTGATGAAAAAAATCTTCCAGAAGTCAAAAGATGCTCAGCGACCACACATTTCTGGGATTTTTAATTGAATAAAAATAATCCTTGCATTTGATACAGCGCCTTATCACGTTGTTCAAATATCTCAAAACGCTTCAAAGAATACGGTGGGTGGGGGGGGGTGGGAGGGGGGCATCGAAGGCGCGATAAGGCGCTGTATCAAATGCAAGGATTACTTGTAAAGTAATTGTAAAGTAGAATGATTGCATTTTGTGGGCAAAACCGACGGCGGGAGGAGGAATGTCGCGCAGGCGGTGGGCGAGATTATCGTCTCGTGTGTTTTTTTTAAAAAAAAGAAATTTAGCTCGAAATGACTGCGAGCAGCAGGACACCCTTCCAGATCACCTTGAACCTGCCCGGCCATGTCAGCCCCCCCCCGAGGTGCACCGTGTACTCACGCGCGCCGCTCTGCCGCTGCTGCTGCTCGGCGAGCCGCTGGCTGGCGGGGTGCCTGGGCGCAGCTCGCGGCCTGGGGCGGCTGATCTCGCCGTGCGCCCTGCTCTCCAGGTTGAAGTTGCGCAGCGCGCGTGTCAAACGCGACCCCATTGTTGCGTGTCCCAGAACGCGCCGGGCCACGTTCTTTCTCGCCCCGCCCCCTTCTATCCCCGGGCGGGGCGAGAAGAAGCTCCACCCCCACCTCCGTCCTTTAAAACATCACCACCGCGCCCCGACTGCAACGGCAGCCGCGCAGCGCCCCCCCCTGGCCCGGAGGACAAATGGGATTGAACAACTCTCAGGGAGTTGAGGCGTTAAAAAAAATCTCAGGCAATGTGATACATAATAATAATAATAATAATTATCTTTGCATTTGGTTTGGTACCTCATCAGGTCAGAAGAACGTCTCAAAGCGCTTCGCGGAACTATTGGGAAATTGAGGGACTGTCGGCAAACACAGGATTATATAAATTACAAAAAGGCACCGTTACCATGACTCCCGTGAAGCACTTTGACGATCATAATAATTCTTGCATTTCATATAGCGCCTTATCACATAATCGAGATGTCTCCCAAGAGCTTCTCAGGATATACCGTAAAGGGTATTTTGTGGGCAAAACAGCAATGGAGTGAGTGACCATTTTATGAATATCAAATGCAAAGATTGTCATTGTTATTATTATTAGAATTCTTTGAGCTCCTGAGGGGGTTCCAAGTCCTGATTATCACCCACTGGCCCCTACTGGAGGTTCACATGTGTAGACATTGCTGAGAACGGTATGAACTTCAGGAGCCAAACTGCACGCAGCCGTGTCCCACAAACAGCCATGAAGTGAAGCGAATGATCAATTTTATTGGGGGTTTGTTGGCCAGGACACTTGGAGAAATTCCCTTCTGTTTTTGAAAAGTGCCATAGGATCTTTAACTGCTATCTGAACAGGCAGATGGGGCCACTGAGAATACAGGACATCCAACCGCTCTCAGTTGGAGTGTTAGTCCTGATGTGAATTCAGAATCGTGATATGGAGTTTGAATCCACAAAAATTCTGATTTAACTGGGAGAATGCTCCCAACTGAGCTAGGCTGACAGCTATCTGATGGTAATAGCATCAATAGGCATTGGGTGAGCTTCCACTTGTATAAAGATAAAATCTAAATGTATCCAGGGATGTAATGCTGCCGGAGTGGTTCGGAGCATCGCTCTGGCACCTGAAATCTGTAAAGGAGCCTCGCTGCAGTGCTTCAGTATAAAAATCCATATGAACAAGCGAGGTGCATTTTGCATCATGATGCTGCTTTGGTCAGTGACATTGTGACGTGAAACACACAAGACATCACATGTCACTCTGCAGACTCAGCCTAGGCTATTTGGCACAGCAGGCGATTCTCCACAGCAACGAGTGACGTTTTCCCAATTTTGCATCATGATGCCACTGACCATAGCAGGATCATGACTTGAACACACGCATGATGCAGCTGGAGAGAAAGGAGGAGATGGTGGGTGGTGCAATTGGAGTGTGGGACTAGTTGATGGGAAAAAGAGAAAACTAGGTTATTTCTACAGGGTTCCAGCACTACATCACTGAACGTACTTCATTGTTACTAACTTTGATTCCAGGACGGTTACTGAAAGCAGTCTGAAATTAATTTCTGGATGAGTCATGATCCTCTGCAGCTGAATGCATTTTGTCTGGTTCTAGCCAGCATCTAAGTGTTTTTGGCTCTGACTCTATCAACCTCCCTTGGCTGATTTATCAGGCTGAAGCAGGTATTGGGAAACATTTGTGTTCTGCTTAAATCTGAGCTGAGTTGCAACCCCCACACGTAATCTATTGCCATGACTACCTTTTTCCAACTCTGGAATATTTTCTGCTTATGTCCTTGTCTCACATTCACTGCTGCTGAAACCCTTATCTATATTTTTGTTACCTCAAAGATAGATATTTCCACTGCTCTCTTAACCAGCCTCCTTTGCTCCATTCTCAAGATGCTATACAACATATCTAATACTCTGCAGCCTGAGTGGTCTCCCATAGAAGGCTTCACACACTCACAAAGTCTATCCTCACAAAGCCTGTTGGTTCCCAAATCTTAAAAAATGAGTTTAAGATGCTCAAAATGCTGAGTTCTTAATTTGATATAGCACCTTATCATCTGTTTAAGATGTCTCAAAGCGCTTCTCAAAATATACTATGAAATGAACTGATAGTATATTTTGTGGGCGAAATGTGGCAGCCAATTGCACACAGCAGTGGTCCACAAACAATCGTGGATTGAGTGACCAATTTATTATTTTTTTAGGAATTCACAATTTTTGAAGGAAGTTTCAAAACACACACTGAATCTAATATTGATTTCCAGATCCTGAATGACACTTTTCACATTTCCAATTGGAGGTACTGGTTAAGTTATCTGTTATCATAAAATCTGTCAATACATTTCACAAGACTTCTCAGGGAGCAGGTTTCATGGGAGGGAAAAGGTAATGGCTTTAAGAGAGCAGAAAATCAATGAACAATCTTCAAACAAAGCAAAAGATTACCTGTAGATTTTGCCATTGATCTGCACTTCCATGTTTTCAAGAACAGTATACTGGTTGAAGTCTTACCACTGTCAGGCAATATTGCAGTAAAATTTGCACTGTTTCAGCGAAAGATCACGAGAGGTTCGGTCAATTTGTTCAAAACACAAAATACTGCAGATGCTGGAATCTGAAACAAAAACAGAGAGAGATGGGAAAACTCAGCAGGTCAGGCAGCATTTATGGAGAAAGGAAAAGGAGTCAACGTTTCGGGTCCACGACCCTTCATCAGAACTGGGGCATGTTGGGAAGGAGAGGTTTTTAAGGACAAGTTGAGAGGGGGAGGCAGGACAAGGAAGACAAAGAAGACAAAAAAGAAGACAGCTCTCTCTGTTTTAGTCAATTTGTTCTCAGTTTGATCTCAGATATCTTTCAAGTATATAAACCTTGCTGTCTTTCCATTACAGCTTTGTTTAATTGAGGCAAGAAACCTTGTTGAACATTTGAGAAACTCAAAAAGGAAGATGATTTACATTGCTGTGAAACAAAATAAGGGAGAATTCTCAGTTCCCCTATTCTAGATAAAAGAAAATCTAGGCTGACAGTGCTAAGTGTGTGTTGCTTTGCCAGAGGTACTGTCAGATGAGTCATTAAACCGAGATCCTGTTGGCATGGTCAGGCTAAAAGTCCTTTGGTACTATTTGAAAAATAAAAACTTAATTTGGGTTTTGACTGTCAATCCTGAGATAAAATTGGTCAATCACTAAATGCTTGGGACTTTGCTACGGGCAAACTAGTTGCTGCATTCGCCTGCAATTAGACAGTCACTAAACTTTACAGTAAAATTCTGTAAAGCGCTTTGAGACAATTCAACCAACTGATAAGGAGCTATATCAAAAACAAACTTTTTTTAAGATTAATTTACCACCAGCAGTCATTTACAATATTATTCATAAATTACTGAAATTATCAAATTCACTGCTTTAATAATCATGGATTAAATTTATTATACATGTAAAATTAGCAAAACATATTCTTAAATTGCTAATTAATGTGATGCTTAAGCGCATGCATGTGTATTCCTCAATGATCATCATGAAGAAAGAGATGCTTCTCCAGTGATATCGAGCATTGATCAGACCTCATTTGAAGTACTTTGTTCAGTTTTGGGCACCCAAATTTTTAAAGGAAATACGAGCCTTAGAGAATGACCGAGACAGTTAGAACAGGTCAGAAAGCATTTGTCCACACAGAGGGTTGTAAAGATGTGGAGTGTTCTGCCCAAAAAACTGTAGAAGCCGAATCAATAGAAATGTTTGAAGGAAAGATATACAAATACTTGGAAAGTATCTAAGGGGTAAAACAAAAGGGCAGGGCATTGGGATTAAAAGATCTGTCAACATCTAATACAGTTTGAATGGCCTTCTGTTCATGTTTTCCTATGTCTCATATTTCCGAAAACAAATCGAGTCTAAACAAATAGAAGTCCACATAAACAAACTAAAAAGAACATGCAATAGAGGTATTGAAGTTGAAAAACAAGAGCTAATGACACAAGTGCTGTAGACACAAGGTTATTGAAGATGGTTGTGAATTAGGCTCATTTCAAGTTGTAAATGTAATTGGTATCCAGTGCAGTGGTTTACCAAAATAGGTAAAACAATGTAATATTATAGCACTCTGCAAGTTCCCATGAGAAACTAATGTGTCACCACAAATCCTTCTGAGACATTATAGTGGAATGAACTCCTAACTACAGTGTCATATTACAGTCCGATACAACTTAAAACACTGCAATATGAAATGAAAATGCAGTGATGAATCACGTAACGAAGCATGAGAAACAACACTGACTCTAAAAAGCCCATTGGGAAACTTATCTAAGATGAATTCATATGAGGTACTGAGATACAATAACTGTTGTATTATAAAAGTAATAATAATACTAGTTCCTAATTATTACTAATAATAGTATTAGTATTGTATTTGGCAAAACCATAGTGTAAAATACAGATCATGAAAAATAAGATAGTTGTGACCCATTTCTGTTAAAAAGACAAATGGGAGGCACAATATCCCTTTACTTCTGTGATTTGATTTTCAGTCCAACCCCCAATGAATGGGATAGAAATCTCCTTGGTCTTTCAAGGTGCCATAGTTAACTATGTTTAGTCATCTTCAATCTAGTGGACATGTATCCAAACTGCAAAATAGTTTCTTACTAAAACTGCAATATTATTCAAAGAAACACAAGCAATGATACTGAAAATGAAATGTTCACACTTGTGCAGTAGAAGATTTCCTCTAAGGTAGTGGTAATAGTGCAGTGGCAGTGGCTGAATGTGTGGTTAAAGGGAAGGGTTTTGAGATGTGTTTTGAAGGAGGCAAGGGAGGGAGCACGACAAAGAGAAGGTGGGATGGAGCTCCAAAGGGTGGAGGCACAGGAGCTGAAGGCCTGACCACCGATGGTGGAGCAGGCTGGAGCCTGCTGAGCCAAGGGAGCAGACAGGTTGATATGGGGTTAGCATGTCACAGAGGTAGGAAGGAGCAAGGCTGTGGAGGGTCTTAAAGGTCAATTTCCTTCTGTTTTCTATTTTTTATTTCCTATTCTTTTTCTGCTGTGATCTGCTTCCAAT